AAAGGAGGTAGGCAAGGCCTGAGGGAGGTGATCCAGGCGTTTTCAACGCTCTCATCCGGACCAGAGTATGACCTGAAACATCTACTCACCTCCCTTGGGGGGTTTAACATCTGCCCTCATCTTTCCCTTACTAATTCCCCTGTAACCAACATCAACTCCAACTGGCCGAGGTTAGGTAGGAACCTCCTGCGCCTGCATTGCAGTCTCTCATGCTGGACCTATGATGTTTTTTGTTAGTTCTATGTCTAGCATAGAAAATACCTTACTGATGGTGGGTGAGTACGATCCATTTCAAATCTGTTCGCTGGTGGTTGTGTGAATCCTTCTGCTAGCCTTCTTTGCAGGGTTTTCGAGTAGGTCCTCGGTGAGCACCCCCTCTGCTGGACTCTTGCTATCGACTCTTTTCGGTGATGACCTCACTCGTCGATACTGGATCCAGACTGGATGACAGTCCTGTTCTTGGCTTCATGCCTCCTGGATCATGTGGCCAAGTCATTAGGCTTCTTTGGGAGCCTTCTTGGTCATCAGGTCCCAAGTCCAGCACTGCAATCCCAGGACCTGCGGGTCCTACCTTCTGGTGAGCTCTCCGGACTGTATGCTTTGCGAGATGCCCCCCTGGACGTCTGGCTGGGTTTTTGCCTCAAGAGGCTGCCTCGACCGAGACGCCATACCCATGTCTCGCCCCGAGGGGCTTCCTGTTTCAGGATATCCATTTTTCTCTGAGTGGAGCTCCTCTCGCTGAGGCGTTGAGCGGCTTTACTCCCTTAAACTCCACTCTGCAGTCTGCTAGTTGCATCACACTGCCCTCATTGTGAACCAGTGAGTCACCCCTTCATGGAGTGGGCTTGAGTACACTGGTTTCCCTGAGGTATGAGTGAGGGGTGTTTCTGCAGAAACCCTTCACGAGTGCTCTGGCTCTGAGGAGAAACAGCTCTCCATGCATGATTTGGGCTCCGTTGTTTCCAGGCTCTGTGGGTCTGGTTAAAACAGGGCCCATGCTCTCTATCGGGGTAGAGAGCACAAGGCTGGATTGGATTGACAATGCTGCCTCCCTGGTGAGCTGTCTTTAATCTAGCCAGCATCGCTCCCCTCACTGTAGAGGGTCATCTATGAGCATGCTGCTCCCTTCCGAGCGTCCGAGTTGAATTCCCTGCTCCGTGGGCAGTTCTCGTGGTGGGCTTTTAGCAGTGCTCCCCTCATTGCAGAGGGTCGCCTATGAGCACGCTACCCCTCTCTGAGGGTTCTGAGTTCTCCTCTCACCCTGAGGGCTGAGTTCTCCGTTTCCCAGAGTTCCTTGAACCAGCAACATCAGGCTACTAGGCCCCTTCCTCTGCCTCCCTGATACACTGCATTTATGGTTAAGCTTGCGGTACGCTTACCCTTCAGGATTATCTACGAACATGCTGTAGGTCGAGCATCTGTCTCCCCCTCTTGGCTGAGAGCTGGGTGCTATGCTCCTTCAGCTAGGTAACTTACTGCTAGCCAGAATTCACTCTATGTTTGTCACATCATTATAAGTGTTTGATCACCACATTTGAGGTTTCATTGCAAAAAAATTTGTTTATGTATATATATTCTGTTTATGTAGGCTATATACTGTATTCTATATACAGTACCAGTCAAAAGTTTTGACACACGAATGGGAAGCGAGTCCACACTTTTGACTATACTGTACTATAACATAGCCTACACATAAAGAATATCGGCAGATATGTCGGTATCGGTAGTTTTTTACCCCCTAATATCGGTATCGGCATCGGCCCCCAAAAAACCCATATTGGTCGGGCTCTAATAACTTCAGATACCTGTCCTGTTCACAGGAGTTTCATGTCAGATTACATTCATACTGTTATAACTTCAGATACCTGTCCTGATCGCAGGGGTTTCGTGTCAAATACCTTTTATATTCATATACAGTAACTTCAGATACCTGTCCTGATCGCTGGGGTTTCATGTCAAATACCTATTATTGTCATATACAGTAACTTCAAATACCTGTCCTGATCGCTGGGGTTTTGTGTCAAAGACCTTTAATATTCATATAGAGTAACTTCAGATACCTGTCCTGATCGCAGGGGTTTCATGTCAGATTACATTCATACTGTTATAACTTCAGATACCTGTCCTGATCGCAGGGGTTTCATGTCAGATTACATTCATACTGTTATAACTTCAGATACCTGTCCTGATCGCAGGGGTTTCATGTCAGATTACATTCATACTGTTATAACTTCAGATACCTGTCCTGATCGCAGGGGTTTCATGTCAGATTACATTCATACTGTTATAACTTCAGATACCTGTCCTGATCGCAGGGGTTTCATGTCAGATTACATTCATACTGTTATAACTTCAGATACCTGTCCTGATCGCAGGGGTTTCATGTCAGATTACATTCATACTGTTATAACTTCAGATACCTGTCCTGATCGCAGGGGTTTCGTGTCAAATACCTCTTATATTCATATACAGTAAATTCAAATACCTGTCCTGATCACTGGGTTTTGTGTCAAATACCTTTAATATTCATATACAGTAACTTCAGATACCTGTCCTGACCGCAGGGGTTTCATGTCAGATTACATTCATACTTTTATAACTTAAAATACCTCCGTATTCACTCAGTATATCTTTGGAAAGATGCATAAAACAATAATTAATTAAGATCGGTTCAGTACTAAAATTAACCATGGTTTATTACAGTAAAAGTTTTTTAGTTTTTTTTTTCGGGTTGATTACCATTTGTAAAACCACAATTTTACTAAAAATAACATGGTTAAAGTTAACCCATTATTATTTTGTGATTACCATCAATTAACTACAAAACCCCTTTTTTGTAAATCCATGGTTAATTTTAAGAACACTACAACTTACAGTAAAACGTAATTAGGCTATTGACGTTATTGCATATTAAATGTTTTTTTGGTTGTCTATTTGTTTTCGAAAATCGTTTGAATGTAAGATTATAAAACATAAAAATAACAACGTGTATCACTGGTTTGTCCTTCATTTTCCATCGCAGGTATGCTTTTCTCTTTCATTATCCATCAAAGCCGATCCTGGGATTGGAAATGCCCGTGCAAAAAAATAGTATTCTGCGCATGATCGGTGACCTCTTATTTTTTTGGAAAAGGTGCGTTTTTCCAGCGCCTTCAGAAATGCCCATTTTACGTCGTGGTAATGAAACCCCTGGAATTTAGTGAATGCCCCTCGCACCGTGGTACTCAGTCCCTAATTATAAAAGGGGAGGGGTGGATGGGAGTTGTCAGGAAATCATCACAATCACTCACGCCAGCACAGTCACCTCCTCCGACACACACCAGATCCCAATCACCCGAATTCTGATCACCTGCACCTGCAATCACCAATCAAGCCCACTATATCTTCTCACTCCACTCAGTATTCCAGTGTCCGGTCTACCGTTCACTACCCAAACAATACCAGACTCCTTACCTGCATACTTACCTGTTGTTTCCTTACTTCCAGGGGTCTATAACGTCTCCGCGATCCCGATTCTCCTCAACCCCGGTTCATCTCCAGGATTCCTGCAACAATCAGAACCCAGATTCTCAAGAAGCTAAGAAACCAAGAAGTTTCATATATCTCTCATACTCACCTGCCTTTGATTACAGCATTGTTAATAAACCCTTCTGTTTACCTGCACTCCTCTTGTCTCTGGCCTGTTTGTGACAGAAGACCGGACCAAGAACCAACACCTCCATGGATCCCCGTCTTCCATCCACCGCAGAGGTTTTAGAGGAACTGGTCAGTGCCCTCAGGGCCTCTCTCACGCCAGTCACCACCCCATCATCTGCCTCTGTAAGTCCCATGGCCCTGCCTCTTTCATATGCTGGTGACGCTGCTGTGTGTGGCGGCTTCCTTCTAAAAGTGGCTCTGTTAATAGAGATGCAGCCGCAGAAGTTCACAACAGAACGTTCGAAGGTAGCCTTCTTAATTTCCCTCCTAAACGGCAACGCGCTGGAATGGGCCCGAGCAATATGGAACGCTAAAATTGCCATAATTAATACTTATGATGCTTTCAAAAATCATTTCAAGGAAGTGTTTGGCTCCACGACGGGAGAACTTTCCATGTCCGATCAACTTCTGCGCCTGCGTCAAGGCTCCTCCACCACCAGGGAGTACACACTACAATTTCGCACACTAGCGGCGACTAGTGGCTGGAATGAGGCGGCCCTCCTCAGTGCCTACCGTCAAGGTCTGGACCCTCCCATTTGCGCTCAAATGGCCATCTACGATGACAACATCGGACTATAAGGGTTCCTACAACGAGCAACTCGCATCTCGCAATGGTTGTCGGCCTGCCAGCCCCACGAAGCCGCCCACCAGCCCTTCGCATCCACCAGCGGTCCCTCTGTCCCAGAGCCCATGCAAATG